TTCCCATACAGTGCCAGTGGATCCTTTTCCTATAGCCTAAGAGCATGAACTTTGGGGTCCAAAGGCTGAAGATAGAATTCTGATCCTTTTACATACTCACTGTGCATGAAGCCTCGGGCTACTTTCTCCAGTTTCAGATTCCTCATTTATAAAATCGAGATAATGATATCTACCCCAGTAAAAGAGCTAGAATCATTAAAAGTAATACACACATAAAGCCCTGAGAACAGTGCTTAATATTGTTATTTAGGGTTACTTCTATCAATCATACACTCTCCGGTACTATTTCCCATAATATATAGGTACTATCTCTTTATCTACAGTTCTCAGTGGCAGAAACTATATTATATGTATCTTTGTTTTCCTCACAGTGCTTAGCAGGACATTATTCTCTTAATAGGAATTTTTAAAATAGCCAATGAATATTAACATGAAAGGGGTCTCAGAGGTCAGTGTAATTCAACCGTCTTACTAAATTTTCTTGTGCAACATCCTTAAATATTTATTCACTATAGGGAACTAAGTTTTTAACACATGCTTCTTTAGAAATATTCAAGATTCAACTATAGCAATATGGATACTTAAACACAGAGAAAGTATGTAAATAAAAAAATCACTAAAATTAAAAATGTGAAAAGATGGGACATTTCACAAAATTAATGTTAAGTTTAACAATAAAAATAAAATTTTACATATCATGATTAAGAACATACAAATAAGTATATCTACCAAAAAATACTGGAGAGGATGGGACATATAAAATGAAAATACTATTGACAAAATGATAGGACAGTTGAAAAATTTGCATTACATTTTAAATTATCTTAATGGTATTACAATATTGCACTTTAAAAGTTCATTTTTCTAGGGGTTGGAGTGCAGCTCAGTGGCAGAGCATGTGCTTAACAGTATGAGGCCCTAAGTTTAATCCCCAGCACCAAAAAAACAAAAAAAAAGTTCTTTCTATTGAACCAAAATCAACCTCTTCCTACAATTGTAATTTTTACCTACTGGTTCTCTTTCTGTCTCTTAGAATTATATGAAATAAATCAACTTGATATATTTGAAAGTTTTAGTGCCCTCCTTCTCTGGCTCTCCGGAAGATGGACCATAGAGGCAATGATGACATCAGAGGAAGCCAGCTAGACTCAGTTCTTAACTAACAAGAAAGCAGTGATAACAGCCCAAATCAGCACAGTATCAATATGGCCAGAATTGAACAATATTTCAAAAGCAGAACAGATAGAAATGGTAGCCAAAAAGATGTGGGAAATAAGGAGAAAATAGGAGTTGAACACATACCTGGTCAGGTTATTTGGGAAAGTGATGATATTCTATCAAGATAAAGAATGTAAAAGGAAAACAGCATATTTGATTATTATATGAAATTCTATTTGAGGATAAGTTTAAGGTAGCAACAGAATATACATATTTATATATTGCTGCAATATGAAGTCAGTGAGACAAAACCATTCCAGAGAAATAGAAGAAGGCAAAAAATTAAAGAACACATGAATGAAATAGAAAACAAAAACAATTAGAAGTAATCAGAATAATCAAAAGATGACTTTTTGAAGACTAATACAAATATTGTATTTTGGCAAATATAACTTTAAAAACCAAATAGTACACAAATAATTAGCACCAGATATGAAAGAGGAAAATTATTACAGGTACAGAGATTTTTTTTAAATTATGAGGTCTTATGAATAACATCATACTGAAATATACGAATAGCTAAAAGTGAAGGAGAGAAAGGGCAGGTATTTATATTTTTTGGTATGAAGTTATTCATGGGAGTTTTTTTGTGTCTTGTTTTATTTCCCAGCGTTGAGGATTGAACCCAGGGCCTCACTATGCTAAGCATGCATTCTACCACTGACTACACCCCTAGCCTAGAAGTTTTTCTTATAATTAAAAGCAAACAATATTCATCCGTTTTGGTAGTTAATTTCCCCCTTTTAGAGGAAAACATAGAAAGTACATCTCTGTAAATTTTGGAGTAAACCAAAATTTCTTAAGTAGTAACCCAAACTGCTGAATATAGCTGAAAAGATCAGTAAATTAAACTATATTAGAATTAAGAACTATTGTTCATAAAGCATCTCATTAATAGAGTAAAAGGCAAGTGATAAGGTTGAAGCTATGTGCTATCCATGTATCTGACAAAGGACGAATAAGCAGAGCATAAGCGCAAAACTCCTACAAATGGGAGCTGGAGATATAGCTCAGTGGCACAGTGCCTGCCTGGCAAAGGTAAGGTCCTGAGTTCAGTTCCAGTACCAAGAAACAAAAAACCAAAAGCAAAAACAAACTCCTAAAAAATCAGATAGTTCAATAGAAAAAATGGCCGATAATTTGAGTAGATAACTTCACAAAAGGAAATATTCAACATGAACTGTAATCATATGAAAAGGTACTCATTAGTCATTAGAGAAACACAAATTAAAACTAAAATGACATACTGCACACCCACAGGAATGGCTAAAATTTTAAAAGATGAAAAATGCCAAGAACTGGTCAGGTGAGAACATGAAGCAATCACAACTCTCATATATTGTTGATAGGAATGTAAATTGGCACAACTCTTTAGAAACTCTTTTGTGGTATATATTAAAGCTAAATCTACATGCAACCCTTTTGTCAAGAAATTCTATTCTTAGTGATTCCATTCCCACCAGAAATATTCACATATTTCATTAAACCCACGTTACAGAATGTTCAGAGTTGTACTGTCCATAATAGCTGAAAACTGGAAATTACTCAAATATACATCAACAATAGAATGGATACATTGTGAGAATGGTCTACAACAATATGGAAAAATATCCTGTAATGCTTATTGAAAAGATAGCCTATATTCTACTATTCCACATCCATAAGATGAACATGGGAAAATAAACAATGCTAGCAGTTGGATTGGTGACAGTCTCGCTGAACAGAATAGTTACTGCAAAGTAAAATTAGATCTCTGGGGAAGCTGGTAGTATTCTTTGTTTGGATCTGATTGCTAATACCACATGTTTATCCAGTAGGGTGGGAACAGGGTGTGGCAAGATACCCAGGGAACACAATTTAAGAGTGCTCTCATCTTGGGACCTGAAAGCCTCCTCAAAAAGAGGCTTCTTCTTGCTGCTAGACACTGATGCAAGTCTCTCGGTCCTTCTTTTCAATCCTGGCCTTCCTTCCAGCCATCACACCTCAGTGACAGGAGTCACTGGTGAGGAGGTAATATGCTATTTTTGACAACCCGCAGGCTGTAACTACTTGTTAGATCCTTCTTGCATATCTCTTGTCTTCCTGAGAAATCACTTCAAAGATACCACCATGTATTACAGCAGCCATTGATATTTTCCTACTAATCTATCCATAACTCTGCAATGTTTGTATTGTTCCTATCCAATTTTGTAAATGTCTATTATTATGTGTTTCCTACAACAACCATTGAGAAAAGTTAATGATTATTCAATAGGTCACTCATGTATAGCTCTATTTATTTTCTTTAGAAGCCACTTTGAAGATACCAAAGTATAGTACAACAACTATTGATAATCTCCTACCTCTTTTGTCTGTAACTCACTATTATTTGTCTATGTGTTTTCCTGAGAAACTATCTTATAGATAACAATATGTAAAAAATAACCATTGATAATTTCCTACCACTTTTCTGTAATTTGGTAAGCCTGCCCTATTATTATGTTATCCTTCTTTTACTCTTTAAAATAAAAAAAATTTTTTTAAAAAGAGACTTCTTGTTTGCCTCCCCCTCCTTACAACCCTAGTGTTCAGTTTGTGAATATTTATTGAGCTACATCAATGATACATATATTTTCTGTGTGTATATTATACTTTAATTTTAAAATGTTAAAGGAGTCTGGTCTACCTCATTTTACAAATGAAAACAAACTCTTAAAAATCTAAATGTAAAAAGAAAAGATTTAAAACTTTTAAAATAAAATATAAGCTGGGTATGGTGGCATACACCCATAATCCTAGCATTTGGGAGGCGGAGGCAGGAGGATCACTGCAAGTTTGAGATCAGCCTGGGCTACAAAGTGAGCCCAAGGCCAGCCTGAACTGCATAGCAAGACTCTGACCTTAGGTAGAAAAGGGTTTCTTAAATATATACAAGAACATATTAAAGAAAAAGACTAGACTCCATTAAAATAAGAACTTATCTTTATCAAAAGACCTCTTAAAGGAAGTGAAAAGCCACAAACCTGTAAAAAATATTGCAACATAAATAAGTGAAAAAGAATGATTATTTAGGACATTTTTTAAAAATCTGAGGGATCTGGGGATATAGCTCAGTGGTACCGTGCCTGCCTGGCAAGTGCAGGGTCCTGAGTTTGATTCCGAATAAAAAAAAAAAAAAAAGTATGAGGAAAAAAATGAGTAAACCAACAGAAGAATGCATTAAAAACTTGAACAACTATTTTGTATACAAGAAAACCAGAATGGCCAATGAAAATATTCTTAAACTTCCCAATAATCAAATTAAAGTTATGTCATATTACCATTTCTTATATAGCAGACTTGCAGAAAACAAACTTATACAATAGTAAGTGTTGGTAAGAATGTAGGATACTCTCCTATACTGCTGGTGCACTATAAATAGATACAATTACTTTGGAAAAGTTTTGTGTTGCCTAATAAAATTGAAAATGTGTACACCTAGAACTCTCTGATATATTCATCCCAGACACTCTTTCACATGTATACCATTAATTGTTATAAATGTTTCTCACAAAAATAAAGACCTCTATAAAGAGGAGAATATTAGTTGGATTGGTGGCATATGCCTGAAATTTCAGTACTCAGGAGGCTGAGGGAGGAGGTTCACAAATTCAAGGCCAACCTGAACATCTTAGTGAGACCCCATCTTAAAATAAAAAAAGGATGGGAGTATAGCTCAGTGGTAGAGTGCCCCTGGATTCTATCTCCAGTACTGGAGGGCAAAAAGAATACAGCAGTGGAATAAAAAACAACAACCACACACAGTGGATGAATCTCAATTTTAATGATCCAGCAAGAGACTCAATGACAAAAAGAAGAACAAAGGAAGAATTATCATCAAAATCAGTAGATGGCTACCTTTAGATTAAAGTGGTGGTACAATGAAGAAAAAGGTAGCTTCTAGGTAGAGACAATGTTTTACTTCTTAGCCAAACTGAAGAGTATATAAATATTTTTTATTGTTATTTGTGTTGTACATATTACTTTTACATACTGTATGATACATGGTATATTTAAAAATAAAAGATTTTTAAGGCAATCAGGTAAAGATCCTATATGTGTATACAGGTGAATGAATATATATTATGTTCCATGAAGGAATAACAATAGGAATTCTTAGTGGGAAAATGTTACTAACACTTCACTAGATTTACTAAATTCTCCAATATGATTGGCTGGCAAGAGAGGAACTTGACTCACCTACAAGTTTACCATAAACTGTAGATCTTTATAGAGGCAGTTTCTACTAAATATATGCTTAGGAAGTATTATTGCATGCCTTATTTAATCTATCAATTGCACTCTCCCTTCTCAGGCTGCCTTGCTCACATTTCATTTGGCAGAAGAGAATGAAATTCTTAATCTTTTAAGGATAATAATCCAGTTTAAACATGTTTATTCTTTCCTTAACTTCTATTTTTTAGCCTATCTTAGCCACCTTCCTTAAATAGAACCAAAAGAAGAAAATTGTAGCAAAATCTAAAGCCATTTTTAAGTCTGACATTGTGAAATACTAATGAAAAAACCTCTTATTTGATTGGCTTTACCATTTATACTAATTGAATTAAAATTAGGCCCTCTCTTCAATGTATTAAACATAACACAGAATTAAAGATCCAGAAGGCACCTCCAGAAATTGTCAAGTACAGCCATTTCAAGTAGGACCCAGACTATCTCAGGCAAATAAGTTACCAACCTAATCTTAATATATCTCCTGAAAAAATTTTATAGCATCCTTTCCCACTTAGCAGTTTGAATTTATTTATTTATTTATTTGGTCCCAGACCCTTTTAATATATACCGCTAGCATATTACTAATATTACAGTAAATATTACTATGTAGGAAAGGCCAATTAATGATGAGATTTCCCCAGGCACAAGGGGGCCCTAGTAAGTAGCCAACTAACTCTTAAGTCTCTGTACCAACAGTAAAATAAAGAGCTCAGAGTACTGCCTGTTCAGCCCCAATAGTTGCAACCTCACCCGCCCACTGGCTTTCCCCAGTAATCTGATCTCAAAGCTTGTATCTCTTGACATCGTGAGAATTGATGATCACTTTGTTTCCACACTGACTTGGGTTAATCTATAAACTTTTTCTTTCCCAACCCCTTTCTACCCAATTACTCCAGCAATCAAGAGCTGAGCTGTACACTTCTATGGAGTATGAACAGACACCTAAATATTACACAGTCCTAAGAACCTGTTATTTGTAAAGGAAAAGAAGAAACCTCTAAATTTTGTAATTTATGGGTGACTTTAATAAAATAAATACATCAGGGAATCTTTTTTCCCTCTAGTCATGAACAATTTCATCTAACAACATATATTTATTTCTTGAAGACTATATTTTTAAACTAAAAATTCCTTGACATCAGGGACTAGTTCTGTTTCAGTGTTTATACCTGGCATGCTCCATTGGACTTTGTTACTGTGACATGACCTGTGTATGAACTGAAAGAATGTCAACTGTATTTAACTAAAGCAATGGAGGATCACTAAAACTTGGCCTTACTTGATTGTTGCTTTCCTCTTCCTCCTCATCACAGTCTAGGCCCTGATGAGCAATCTCAGTAGTGCTGTTCTCCAGAAAGAGATTATTCTCTAAATCAGCCACTCTGGAGGCCTCCGTTGTGACTTTCACTTTCATGCTATGAAAGCCCGTGGAGACCAATCCCACTTGCAGGTTGATGGGGTCTCCCGCAAACAGCAGGAAGTGTGAGTCCACTCCTTCTTTAAAACCAGGGGGTTGGTAGTCATGTGGGGTCACTGCAAAATGAAAATGGCAAAAAGCCATGAAAATTGTTTCCAATAGAACTGATCCAATTAATATTTCATAGTAGCAACAGATATCTTTTCTTTGGGAGGACAGGGTCTCTCTGTGTAGTTCAGACTGGCTTTCAACTCAATGTGTAGCCTAGGCTGGTTTCTAACTCAGCCTCCTGAGAGCTGGGATTACAGGTGTGTGCCACCATGCCTGGCTAAAGAAGGAATTTGGCTAAAAGGCACCACTTACCTTCCTTATAGTAATGGAGTTTCATAGTAAGTATAACATCATTAGGAAGGGGTCCAAGGTTTTGCATCAATATGTACAATTTACGAATCAGTAGAACACTGGCTTTCTTAATATCTTCACTGCTCGTCCCACTTTCAAAGCTTGTATTACTACTATAATCACATAGAAAAATTGCATACTTTATAATCATACACAATATTGACAATCTATTTTAAAAAGAATAAAAACCATTTAGCTATATGATAAAATAAATATAAATTAAATACCAGGATTTTTGAGACAATTTTTAGAACTAAATTAAGAGAGTGATTGTACTTTTCCAATTCATACACAAAGGATTTCTGTTCCCCTTGCTTTTAAAAATGACCTTTTAAAAAAATTTTGGTTTACAAATAACCACATGCCATAATAACGAGAACAATGGATTTGCAATTATGTGACCCAGCATCTATTATCAGCTCTGCAGTTAACTACCTGAATGACCTCAGTTAAATCATTTAGACACACTCTAAATTGGTCAGCCCATTTGTGAGATAAACTTACAGGCATTTCTATAGCACTCCAAGCATAAAATGACCTGCTAGCTCTGTGCCTATCCACCATCTAGTTATCTCTCAAAAACTTCCTCTCCTCACTCTTCTGTGGATCCCTGCTTTTCTTCTTGTCCACGTGGCAAAACATTCTCCACACCACTACCAAAATAATATTCCTGGGAAAACCTGTTCATATCACCTTTCAGTTTAAAATTCTCCTACTATATTCATCATCTTTCAAATACAAATACATCATCTTTCAAATACAAATATATGTACAATGTTTTTCATGTCCAGCCAATCCCTTACCTCCTTCACCTGCAGCTGCCACCTAGTTTCCTCTCAACCGTGTACATTTCTATATGGTGCTCACTTCATTTGTGTTGTGCTTTTCCACTTCTCTTCTAGACTTTCCCACTTCATCCTCCAGTACCTAACTCATATGCTTCTTCTTTATGGAAGCTTTGCTATCATCCCTGGACCAGATTTCCCTCCAGACTGTGAGTGGCTCTTTTATTCACAATACTGAGTTTGGTATTCAGGTACTCGGTAAATCTTTGTTGAATTAATGTGTAAACAAAAAGTTGGACTAAGTTACCTTCTAATTCTAAGCCATTCTTATTTCTCTCCAAAGTTTCCTTTTCCAATTAATCTCACATTTGAGTAGTTTTCAGGAGGAGCTTGACTGCGATGTGTTTGCACAGTGCATTGCACATAGTAAGCAGTATTGAAAAATAATCCTAAGTAGTTGAACTGTTGGGTTTTTTGCTAACTAATCTTTGGAGGCAGTGCGAATTCATAAACCAAGTACTTAATAAGTGAACACATTAGTTCCTCTATCAATTTCAAACAACTTAAAGTTTTGTCCACCAGGATTTAACCAGTTTGAACATACTTAACCAAAGTGAAGGGCTCTAAAGCCATGTAGCTCACAGAATCCTCCAGGATTCATCAGTAAAATTATATTCAGGACTTCCATTTAAATAAATGCTTAACTTTGGCTTCTAAGAAATTGAAATATGCACCTTCTCTCTTTAGTGTCTGAAAGATGTGACCGTTTCCATTTTACTGAAAACATGTATGAAATGTTCTATATAATCTGTAAAGTGCTATACAAATATTAGTTAACAATAGCTAATATTATTTTTTTGTTGTTGTTGTTTTTGTTTTCTTTCTGGTACCGGGAACCGAACTCACGACCTTGCGCTTGACAGGCAGGCGCTTTGCTGCTGAGCTAAATCCCCAGACCCAATAGCTAATATTATAATTCTCATTTCTGGTACTGACTTTTTCTTCACATTTGAAATAAGACAAAAAATAAGAAAGTGAGACTTAGAGAGAAATCCTCAGGTTCCCCACAGCTAATAGGAAAAGGGAGAATTTTGCCATACTTTTCTTTAGAGCTATTCTTTTGGGGCACATTCATCTCCATTCCTCAGAGCCTTCTTCTAACCAAGGTTTTCTATCACCACTGCATCTTCCATTTCTTTTCCATCCCATCAGAAATGCTTAGCTCTTTATATCTCCTAGCTGATCTGAAGCCAAAAGCTACTGAGAGAAGAATACATAAATGTTGTTCCTCAACAAATGTCCTGATCTGCAGCAGGGCCCTTCTGAAGCACAGGTCTTTGTCATTTCTAATTAACCCATTAGTGTATCTAAAACTTGGAGTTTTGACTTGATAGGAAAATATAGTGCTTTCTAGTCTTTTCCATACAGGGACATACATAGAAAATACTATTTATATGACATTGTGGGGCAAGTAGATGAGAATATTTGTGTATGTAGGCAAATAGTCCAAGGGCTTTATCTACCCCAGAGCTGGTCTGGCTGTACTGAAGGAAGAAAGATAAGTAGCTCAGCATAGCAACTGAGAAACTTTAAGTTAATGGCTAGACAGAGTTTTATGGTCTTCAATCAAAATGTGTACACAGAATTTCTAATACAATTTCTATTACTGTAATACTCATCTTTGCCTCTGTTCCCAGCAGCTTAATCCATAGATTTCAGAAATTCAAACAATTATCGTAGTCCCTTTTTATACTAGTGGAGTTTTGTAGGGTTTATGGATAAATAATAAAAACCAGTAAGACTTTTCTTTGGCCTACAGAAGCTTTTGTTTATCTTACTTCTATATATTTCTTATGTTCATTAAACAAGTAGATTCTACCTGTCAAAATCCATAGTGGCGCCTTCTTTTGTGTATTTGAATTTGAACTGGTATATCTCAGTAACATTCTAGAAAAACCAAAGAGAATAAAGAAATTAATTCTAAAAAAGAAATCCAGAATTTACCTGATAATAAGGAACATTGTATAACTACTACGCTTCTACATACTTGTTTGTCTCACAGCATTACATAATTCAGAATTAATATTTCCAGATATAAAGATAACTTAATATTCTTTGTGCTAAAAATGAGTTAGATGGCAAATAATACAATTATCATTAAGGCTGGAGAAACTAAGGCACAGTCAAGTACCCAACTAGGTAATTAACAATATAACCAGTTGAGAAAACATCTATTTATGTAATAAATATTTTATTGAATCTCTATTTTGTGGCAGGCACAAGTAGGGGTGAACAAAACAGGAAATATCCTTGTTTTTCTAGAATTTATAGTCTGGTCAGGGATAGTCAATAAGTAAGTAAAAAAATAAGAAAAATTCAAATAGTATGAGTGCTGTGAACAATATGAAATAGATGCTATGATAAAGTACATGAAGGGAAAAAATGCTGATTTGGTTTGCAAGGGCCAAGGAAGGCCTCCCTGAAGAAGTGATGCTTGAGCTGAGCCTCAGGAGGGACCAGTCATGTGCAGACCTGCGTGTGTAGCGCCCCAGGCAGAGGAAACAGAGGCTATGAAGTAGTAAGGGATGCCTCTTTTGAGATCCAAGAGGAGGCTAAGTGACCAGATACAGCAAGCAAGAGGGAAAATATCAGAGATGACTTTATAGGGGGTCATAGGGCCAAGGTAAGGGGTTTGGATTTTAGACCAAGTAAACTAGAAGTCTGTTGAAGGGTTTTAAATGAGAATCAGCTGCATTTTTCAAGCTCACCCTGACTACCTTGCAGTACTGATAGAAAACATGGAAACAATAAAAGAAGTTAGGAGGCTACTTCAGTAATCCAGAAAGATGATAAAGGCAATAGAAATTTTTTTTTAAATTAGAAAAAGAACAAGGATCTAAGTCTTGCTTTTTACCATATTGCACTAAAAACTAGATACTACTGCTACTTGCTCTCCTCGCTGTTAAGAAAGCTGGAAATAAAGAGGGACAAATTTCCTCATGAGAGACATATCCATTTAAAATAAAACGTTTATACTAGATGAAGCAAACAGACCCAGATATATTATACAACCTGTTCACAGAGCTGGAGATGGTACTGTAGGCAGGTAAAGGGTATGAGTTTTAGTCAGAACTCGCACACACGCGCACACACCCACCTCGTTCCTCTGGTTCAGTATTTGATCCATGACAGGAATGAGGATGTTATATTTATCATAAAAAGTCTCAATGTTTCTGTTACTTTAAGATTTGATCCCAGGGGCTGGGGATATAGCTTAGCGACACGGTATCTGCCTGGCAAGTGCAAGGTCCTGAGTTTGAGTTCCAGTACCAAAAAAAGAAAAAAGATTTGATCTCCCAGCCCTACTGATCTTGTACCTCAACGTACAATTTAATCATAGGTGATGCGGTCCTGGAAGAACTGGCTCACGCTGCTTAAACTCAGGAGACTGATTTGCAATGGAGTTAATTTTAAAAGAGAAAAATATTTTTCTAACTTGTCAGTCTATTTGAGAAATCAAATGAAGTTCAGATTTGCTGCTCATAGTTGCTTTGCAAATACAGTATGAGAGACGGGTAAGATCAGAGGTACCTACAGCTGCCTAACAACAGGTGCACTCCAGACAAGCTAGATACATAGTACCCTCTCTTAGTCAGTGCTGAGTATAATTGTTTTGTCAATCAAACAATGTCTATTCTTCGTGCCTGTCCTTTTTTCTCAGTGAATTCTGTTTCTTGATGCTATGAGCGTACATTTTTTTTTTAAAAAAGATACCTTTTAGCAGTTGGTAATTTTACTTCATCATTTGATCCCTGATATAACTAGTAAAAAAGTTATGTTTACAACTGTTTTATGGATCTTAATTCTTAGTAACTTTAAACTGACTGATGTTATCAAAGAAGGCATATTTATAGGAGACACCAGTGTGCTCTTTATAGCTCATATGATGTTCTCTCACTTTTCAGGCTGTGTTACCTAACAAAGATGAGCCTTTAAGCTGTACATTAATGGTTCCTATCAACCATGCTGAGTTTATTCACATAGACCAAGGCAGCAGAAGCATGTGCCGCCTTTCCTTTTCCTTCCATATTCCAAAGCACTGACAAAACTTTTCAGATATATCTCCAGAACAAATTGCAAGTCCATTGGGTATTCATTATTGTATAGTCAAGAGTTTGGGAAAATACAAATCAGACTATATCACTCCTTTGCTTCACAGACCCTCCACGGCTGTCCTTAGAATAAAATCTAAGAGTCCCTTTGGTCCACAAGGCCCTACTCATCTATCCCTTGCCTACCTCTCCTGACACTTTCCTTCCCACTTACTAAGTGCCAAGTTCATAATACTTCTTCTTTCCATAAACATTCAAAATTCCTTCCTGTCTTAGGGCACTTGTACAGCTATACTCTGGAACATATTATCTCAGGTTGATGATAACAATGATAACACTGAAGTACTCCCTTAAGTGCATTATATCAATTCATTTTTTTTGTTTAACCAACACTCCAAAGTACTATTATTATTCTCATTGTTGTTGAAATTAGTAAGTGGTATTAATAAGATTTAAGTCTTATAACGTTAACTATAGTGTTATTCTGCCTGTCACATGTCATGCCTTTCCCAGGTCTGAAAGACTGACTCTTGCTGGTCATTCAATCTCAGTTCAATCAGTCGCAATGCAGGGAGGCTGTCTATGGACTGCCAGTCTAACAGTCATCTAGTCCCTCCTCCATTCTCTACCTCAGCGCTGACAAGCATACTACCTTTTAAAAGTTTTCTTCATAGCTGTATGACTTTCTAGAATTTGTTTTTCTTTTATTCTTTCTTTCTTTCTTTCTTTCTTTCTTTCTTTCTTTCTTTCTTTCTTTCTTTTCTTTCTTATTGTTTATTCTCCCTCATAAGAATTTAAACTTCTAGAGGCCAGGAACCTTGTCTAACCCTAAAATTAACTCCTGTACTTATATACCTTGAATAGTTCTAAGCACATAAAAAGAACCTGATTAGTATTTCCTGAGAGAATATTCAGCCAAGACTTTTTTTAAAAAGTCTCTAAAAGCATGCTATGCCTAGAAACAGGGACTCCTATGGTTCAGCTCTTGAAGAAGGTTATAAAAAGGGGGTGTTCACCACCTCCAAATAAGCACAAAAGAATAGATGATGAAATGGTAAGATTTATATCCTCATGATATTCACAGATAAAGTAATTCTTTTGTTTGTTTGTTGTTTTTTTCCGGTACCGGGAATCAAACTCATGACCTTGTGCTTGCCAGGCAGGCACTGTGCCACTGAGCTAAATCCCCCAGCCCCTAATTCTTTAAACTCTATCAACAATACAGTTTTTCTTTAATATATTAACATTTGGATAACACATCTTACTAATACCCACCACACACTTTGCAGTGTGTGTCTGTATAATAACTTACTATCACTCATCATTACTTTAGCTGCTTTTGTCAGTTCATCTCTTTCAAGAGAGAGCAACCAGAACAAGACTTCCAGTGCAAAAGCACCACAATTTTGTGCAATGCGCAAGACTCTCTTGACCTCTGAACTAGGAAAGCAGATGTTCTCAACTGCTGTTCCATAATATACCAAGCAAGACTGCTGCTATGGTAGGGGTAAAAGGAATCAAGATGGGTTATGTACATGTACCAATTTCCCACAATGAATATAATCATTATGTGCTGCAAATGTGTACTAATAAAAATTAAAATTTGAAAGAAGAAGAGTGCTGCGAATTTTAATCCTAGTGCAAAGTATATTTTTACTTCAGGTAAATATAAACATTGTTATTGTTTGTGCAGTTTTGTTTAGGGAAGGATATACTTCTAGGGCTATGACTCAAGTGTTTGGCAAAATATCAGATAAATGTCAAAGACTATGTTTATGTGAGAACGTTGCTTTGTGAGTACATAAGAGAATGTGATCAGGGACTAAACAGATATATCAGTGACTTAATGCTAAACAGCAACCACAAAACAGTGTAACCTTGTGGATGCTTTCAGGCAGTATAAACACTGATATACCATAGTAGATTTACATTGTAAATACTGTCGAATTTATTGTTCTTTTGAGTTAATGCCCTCAAAATGCTGCCAAATTTTTTGGTAATCAAAAGCATGGCATAAACATCAGCGAGTTTGGGCTCACTACTGCAGGGAACAATCTAAAATATTCAAAATATTTTTCTCAGGTCATAAATGATAGCTCAGAAGTTACCATATCACGTTTTCATTTTCTAAGCTCATTATTATATATGCCAGTATCAGGCTCATTTAACAGTTTTCTTCCCACTCTGTAAGATTTTTGTGTAATTAAGCCTAAATTGCTCAGTATTTCACTACCCCAAAACCACTTTCAAAGTAGGAGTTTTTCATGCATAAGAAAACATAATAAACACTGCACCAAGAAAACAGTCAACTTACCAGGAAATTTTAGTTTAAGACATTTACCCTCTAATCTTTAGAGAAAGGGTATCTTGAAACTAAACATGAGACAGAGACATAGAGAGGTAAACTAGTTTCGGCACTGGGGGATTGCTGCGCGCCTGTACGCAGCAGTTTCCTCCCTGCTTGCCTGCACGGCTAGCTATAGTCTTGCAAACAGGATACGAAGTGCTAAAGGCAATTTAGTGTCTTTTGCTAACAATTTAGTCTTAAACCCCACCACCTGAAATAAATCCATTGGCTTGGAGAAGGAAGACTGAAAGAAAAAAGGAAAAAAAAAGCCAGGAGGAAAACAGTGAGAACAGAGGACTTTTTTGAGCTCTGTACCACAGCCACAGAAGCCATTCAAAATGGCACAAGTAAACTATTAGGTGTCCAGGACTAGAATTCTAACTGTGGACATAGAAAACAAGAGAAGACCTTTGTCCTCAGCAATTCACAATCTGCTTGGGAAATAAAGTAATCTACGTGAATCACTTGAGAGTGTTAAGTTGTGGGGGGTCTGCTGGAACAGGAATTAAAATATGAAGAAGTGTAGTGTAGACAGACTAGCTAAAAAGACGTTGATTTAAGATTTGAATATAAGTTGCCATTGGAGGAGAGTAGGATTCACTATACAAGGGGAAAATCTACAGAGAGAGAGAGACAGAGAGAGAGAGACAGAGAGGAGAGAGAAGAAATAAAACTCTGAAAAATCTATGAGAAGGTCATAGTGAGCATAGTTGTCCTCTCCTGTGATCCTAGATACTTGGGAGGTTGAAGTAGGAAGGTCTCAAGTTTGAGGCCAGCCTGGACAACTTAGTGAGAATCTGTCTCAAAATAAAAAGTTGGGGAGAAGTAGCTCAATAGTAGAATGCTTGCCTAGCATGTGTGAACCTCTAGTACTCCTGTGTTCAATCTCTGGAACTACCAAAAAAGAAAAAAAGGTCAAGAGGGGAAATTATTTTTAAAAGCTTAGAATTATACCTTATCTCATTTATTTTCCCAAAAGGTCATAAACAGAAAAAATTCAGAATCAGTTACAATGAATAATAAAATATACATAAAATACATTTATACCTTAAGAGAGTCTTAATGTTAACACATTAGGTAAATAGGCTCCATTCTACTCAGTACTTTTTCTTCTAATACCCCTTAGCTAGTTTTTGGAAATTTCAAGAGAAAGCACTGGTCACATTTATAACCAAATAAAATGGAAGAACTCACTATGAGTTACTCTGTTCATGAGGTAATCTGGTAACATAATCTATAGCATCAACTCAGACAAAGACACTTCAACATAATACACATATACCACCTATATGTGTATCTTCTTACCTCAGGTTCCTTAGGATTTGTATATATCTGTTTAAGGGGAAAATAAATAGCATTCAATTTCTCAAATTCACTAGATTACTTCTTATGATGTATATTTTCCATATAAAGAGTTTAATTTGTGCTTTATTAATTGAGTATTTTGCTGACATATACTTCAAGCAGAGATAGGATAAGCTCTTATTTTGTGAACATGGAGTTTTTAGAACATTCCATTAACACAATATAAGCAAATTATAAGAAATATAAAGTATGTATAGTTATGGTGACTGAGTTATAAATAAATTGCAAATAAGTTGTTATGGTTTAATTTTTTTAAATAACTAGTATATCTAAGATCCTTAGTATCTTTTCACTTTCTTCTATTCTTAACTATATATACATCCTATTATATAGAGGGCCATGCAAAACTTCCCCAAAACCTATAAAATTAAAAAAAAAAACCCCACAACTTTGAGTCTGTAAAGTAGCTAAAGAAAGATAAAATACTGAGATCCCAACAGAAGCAAATGAAGCTGAGCCTAGTGGCACAGGCCTATAATACTAACTGTGGACATAGAAAACAAGAGACTTTTGTCCTCAGCAGTTCACAATCTGCTTGGGAAATAAAGTAATCAAATAAAGTGATTCAAGCTCTAAATAAATAAATTTTAAAAAATCAAGTTCAGCCTGAATAATTCAGCAATTTAGTGAGATCCAGTCTCAAAATTTAAAAAAAAATTTAAAAATGGGCTGAGGATGTAGCTCAACAAAAAGGCTTTAGGTTCCATGCATGATATCACAAAAAAAAATAAAATCAAAATGAATAAAATACAGACTTTTTATATTGGGGAAAGCACTCCACCACTGAGCTATATCCCTAGCTCTACATATATTTTTTTAAAAAAACTACAAATATCATAAGATGAAGGAAAGAAGGGAGATAATACTATTTAAATATTTCACTTGCCAAAAGTCAATGCAGTAGAGAAAGAGGCTTAGTCTTGCAGTGTATACTTACTATAAGTACTGCCATGTGTAGCTTCAAGAGAAAAAAATCTATTATTACTATACAGTCCCACTTATATTATTGTTATTTCCAATAGAGGCTAATTAAAATATTATTACAGAAAGGTTCCAAAGAATTGTGTAGAAAAAATATTATTCAGGAGGTCAGAAAGAGGGATAATAATTATTCATCCATTCATTCACTCATTCATTCCTCATTCATTCATTCAAATAATGCCTATTACTTAGGGCTCTGCTGGACAGAAAAAGTATACCAAGCAAAAGATACACAGAATAATATCCCTACTGTCAAAAAGTTGTATTCTAATTTTGGAGGCAAAAGATACACAGAATAATTCATTATTGCTAAAAATAAAATATACCACAAGTATATCTAAAGTGTTCCTTTTAAAGCTAATCTACTAAAGTAAAAATCTAAATCGATATGTCTATAAAACCCTCTCCTCTACATATACACTACTATAAAGAGTAATAGAATATATAGACATAGAAATATAATCAAACCTATGATAAATTTTTCAAAAACTTAGAATACAAATCAAAAAATTTTAGGTACATAATTTCACAACAAAGGATTAAGACTTTAGTGACACCATGTGGCTGTGTTGGTTACTGCACATAACTGATTTTAAATGCAGGCAATGAAACCCTAATTTATGCTTAGACTCACAGAATTAATAGCTCACAGATTTAAAATATATATATATATAGACATGGACACTGATCTCAGGAAACAAGAAGACTAACAGGGAACTATATTTTGACAAGCTTTCTAGGTAATTCACATACAAGCTAAAGTTTGAGAACCACCATAGTTTTTAATTATTAACATTTAATTCTCAAATAATCCTAAAAAGTAGGGTCTACTATTAACCCCCATTTTATATGTAGAGAAATTAAGGTACTAAGAGCTAGATTACTCGCCCCAAATCACACACGTATTAAGTGACAGAAGTAGGATTCACCCCCGCTGTCTGTGTGCCTAACGCTGAGCTCTTAACTATATTGCACTGTCCCTCACTGACCACCACCCAGGAAATGCTGCTAAATGAACGGCTGAGGGAGAGTGAATGAGCATTGTCTGGTATGCCAGAGATGCCCTGCTCCCTTGCTCAACCAGTCTAAATACTCAGGCCCTTCAAAGCTCAAACTCATTTTCTCTCAAAGATTTCCTTCATGTCCCTACTTATAACCTCTCCTTCTCCATACTTCCTATGATATATGATCAGTAGTTTTCTTTTGACATGTATTACTTCTAATGAAAGTTACGATTACTTGTATTTGTGGTGGGGGTAACAGTAAAAATATATCTGATGCTTTTATATAAAAATATTAACTGATATGAAAAAAATCAATAAAACCCAATATGGCACAGATAATGACTGCTCTGAAATTATCCAACTTAGCCCTGGAGCCAAGTTCCTGGTAACAGCCCTTGAACTAGGTATTAACCTTTAGTTGCTGGGCTTTGGAGACGTCCAGGGATAGCTCAAAAGAGACTCTGATGGAGTAAAGGGGAGGATGCTGGTGGGGTTTCACACAGGGCCTCAAGAAGATCTACCTGCTATTAGTACAGAAGAAATACCAGTATTTTACCAACAGGTAGTTAGGCGAGTGTGTAACCACTGATCATCAGCCCTGCTTATGAGTATTTATCTTCTACCATGCTCTATAGGTTTTTTCCCTCATCTGATTTATCTGTATATCCCTTGGTTTCCTAGGTCAGTATTGAATAAATCATAACTGTTCATTTTACTGTTCTGTGAAGAGAGGAAATGTATGAATCCACTAAATAATACAATGTAAGGCATGCTCACCTCAAGATTTCTTAAAGAAATAGGAATTGAAAAGTAAAAAGACACAGGGAAAATGGGGAAAAGTAGCGATAAGAATTTCATTTATACACATTTTGTCTCTTCAACTATGACTAGAGCCTCCATTTTTTAAACTCTTCGTAGCTGCTTGGGAAGTGTGAAAGATCAGATGCAGTTTAAAATTTAAACTGAGTTTAAAAAAAATTCAAAATATAATGTTAGTCATTTTGAAGGAACAGGTTATGCATACAAACCAAACATAGTTACCAAAATAACTAAGGTAGAATAAAAATTACTCAAGTCTTTTTTCCTTTCATATCATCAAACTGCATTGCTACTATTTCAAACATGTTCAATATGCTGAATGCCGTATTCTTGTCTCCCCTACCCACTGGATCTCTTCCAGTAAATTCAGGGGAAATTCTGTGGTCACATAGATATGAGTATGTAAAACAGAAAAGTGAGAGTTTCATTTCTAATTAATGTAAAGAGGATATCAATGGAACAACAACGACTGAATGTAAAGGCAGGCATTGGTACACCATTAAACACAAAAAGAATCTAAACTTTTTTAAGGAATAAAAGATGAATCTTTGATCCTGGTATAAATTTGAAAACATTCTTACGTATTTCTTTTCCAAAGCATGAAAACAACCTTGAATCCTGTCAAAAAATAAATGCTTAATGTCAATTTGGACCACATGCAAAGCCAAAAAAATTCCAGTACACAATCAGTTTGTACTTTTGGCTTTAAAGTGTATTATACTAATAACTTTTAACCTTTCCATTTACCATTTTTAATAAACTCCTAATGTTTATAGTATATGTATAGAACTTTATAAATAATAAGCAAATTTCAGAGGAGGAACTATTTTTTCTTTTTTTTCTCCTACAATGCTTATAATGACATACATATAACAAATAATGAAATTTTGATTTTTTTAAAACAGTAGTGGGTATTGAACCTAGGGCCTTACACATGCTAGGCAAGTGCTCTACAACTGAGCTACCCCAGCTCTTTCCTCTTTCTTATTTTTTATTTATTTTTAAGAGAGGATAGTGATAAACTGCTCAGGCTGGCCTCAAACTTGTAACCTTCCTGCCTTAGCTTTCTGAGTAGCCAGAATTACAGGCATCCACAACATGCCTGCTTAACTTTTTTCTTTTTATCGCTCCATTTTCTTATGAAATCAAAACTAAATCAGTATTTTAGAATAATATTAAATAATTGTTTCAAATTTCAAGGAAATTATAAAAAGCGAGTGTGGCCTTAAGGACATGATCTTTCCAAATAAAGTTTTACTCAATTTCAGCCATGATAAAAATGTCCAACCTTTGAGGAATTTCAGTTACTTACCACTTGATAATATGCAGTGACCCAGGACATTTTTTGTCTTCTCGGAGAATTTTTAAACTGAGATCTACAAAAAGAGAAACACAGTCTATTTGCATCTACAAAATTACTGCTATATTGAAGATATCTATGCTAAATAGGACATTTCTTTTAGCTATTTTATTTATGGCTTATAAAAACATTTGTAATCTCTACCTACTTTAAAAATAAATCTTATGATCGTAATCATCTTAGCCATGAGACAGGACAGAAGAAATAAAGATAGGTAGACATAAGACAAGGAAATGAGTTTGAAGTCATGTCAAAGTTACCCAAGGTTATCTATACCTTTACCCTCTAGGTTTATTTCTTCCAGGCACATCACACCCAAATTCCTTAAAGATACTGGAAGTCCATAAATTAACCTAGCTGATAAAGAAAAGGGCAATAACTTGACCTAATGATAAAGAAACAGATATAAATGATTCAAAGAATGCTTTAGGTAAAACATTTTAGGTCTTTCATCTTATTTTTTGTTTGTTTGTTTGTTTTTGGTACCAGGAATCAAACTCAGGACTTTGTGCTTGCCAGGCAGGCACTTATACCACTGAGCTATATCCCCAGCCCAGTCTTTCATCTTAATAAAGGGTACTGCCAAGACCACATATATATCTCTAACCCTAAATAAAGAACCTTACTTTTGAGCACCTGTATGCTATTTTGTCTCAGTGTGTACCTCAATTTTGCTTAATGAATCTGCCTATGCCTCTTACTCATATGTCCTGAGGTGATTGTTTTGCAACAAGAATATGTCTGGGTGAGTTGAGGTTCCCATCTTTCCTTTGAGGAGCCTCCTTGGACCCTGTCCAGCAACAATTCCAATTTTAAAAACATTTTATCAATCTTTTCTATTTATAGTGCGGCACAACTGAGTTCCATGCAAAATCAATTTGTATTACTTTGCTTCTTTTCACTCCTAGGTAATCATAAAGTAGCACTGAAGCTCCACTGACCAATTTTTTTAATTTTAAAGAGAAAAAGTTAAAATAACAACAAGAGAGTTTCAAAACAGGCCAATAGGAGAGTAACAATAGTTAATACACTGAGTATTATTATATTCATAATAGCTGTTCAGAGTACAAGATATAGGCATGAAATATTGTCCAAACAATATTAACACAAACCTTCCTTTTCCATGAGCTAAGAAATACTAGCTGTATAATTATCTTAACTATCTTGCATATGTATATATATAATGTTTTTTCCTTTTCCCTTTCTTTCTTTCCCCATTCTCTCATCATTTGTTTTTCTTTTCTTTTGAACAGTTTCCTCCATATCCCCAATATATGTTGTTCATTTTGAATCTTATTTACTCGTTCAGGTTCTTACAGTAGTGAGACAATATGATGTTTATACATGTGGGTCTGATTGATTTCACTTGTGAGTATGGTCTCAAGTTGCATCCATTTAGCTATAAATGTCTCAAGGTTATCCATCTTTATGGCTGAGTAGTATTCTATTATATAAAAAGACCACATCTTTTTTATCCATTCCTCAATTGATGGGCATTTGGGTTGTTTCCAACATTTAGCTATTACAAATTGTGCTGGTATAAACATGGGTGCACATATATCTCTGTGGTATGATATTTTTAATTCTTCTGGTAAGATATCCAGAAGGGGAACAGCTGGATCAAATGGGACCTCTAATCCTAGTTTTTTGAGGAATCTTCACACTGACTTCCACAGTGGTTGCACCAGTCTACACTCCCACCAACAGTGAAGGGTTCCTTTTTCCCCACAGCCTCTCCAGTAATTGTTATTGGTTGATTTCTTTTTTTTTTTTTTGATTTTTCTGTACCAGGAATCAAACTCACAACCTCATGCTTGCCAGGCAGGTGCTGTGCCGCTGAGCTAAATCCCCAGCCCCCTATTGGTTGATTTCTTGATGATAAACATTCTATCTGGAGTGAGATGGAATCTCAGTGTTGTTTTAATTTGCATCTCTCAAATGACCATTTTGAACATTTTTTAATGTATTTAATTGCCATTTGTATTTCATCTGAGAAGTGTGTATTCATCTCAGATGCTCATTTTTGTATTGGGTCTTTGAATTTTGGGAGCCTGATTTTTTTCAATTCTTAAATGTCTGAGGGACAACTGGCTAAAATTTTTTCCCACTCGGTGGGTTGTCTTTTCACTCTGTTGCTGATTTCTTTTGTTTCCACTGGCCAATTTAAAACATACACTTCAGGCTGGCAATATAGCTCAGTGGCAGAAGTGCCTGCCTGGCAAGTGCAAGGTCCTAAGTTCAATCAATCAATCAATCAATCAATCAATCAATCAATAACATACATTTCAAACTTACTTCTCTGTTATTTCTTTCCCTCCCTCTCAATAGGGGGGAAACAGAAAAGAAAAAAAAGTGTGTGGTTTATTTTCAAATATTTATTTCATTTCCATCTGAATTCCAACTACTTGTCTATACTTAGGAACAAAAGCAAAATCATATTAAAAGAGTTTTGGAGCCAGGCCTGGTAACACAGGCCTTTAGTCCCAGCACTCAGAAATCTTGGGCAAGAAAATTATGAATTTGAGGCCATCTGGGGCTTCATAGCAAATTCAAGGCAAACTTGAACTATGTAGAGAGGCCATGTCTCAAAAAAGAAAAGAGAGAGAGAAAATAAAAGCAAATTAAAAATAAATGTTTTGGTTTAGATCAGCCTAAAATTAATTACTAATTCATGGATGGCTTGCTTCTTCATATTGCTTTCTGATCTAAAACTGTTATCTCTCCTCTATTAAGGAATATGAAAATTATTTCATGTTAGCATAACATTTAGAGTCTATCAGGAAGAGTGATATACTATGCTTGCAATTTGGTTGCAACCAGAATTGTAGAACGAATTCTGCAATCAGAATCATGGCAAGAATTAAATTCATGAACTGACGTACCTCTGTATTTAGCATTTTTATGATATATTTTAAAGTACAGACTTTGAGACAGTTTCTCTTTTTTTCCAGTACCAGGAATCAAACTCAGGACCTTGAACTTGCCAGGCAGGTGCTTGCTGTGCCACTGAGCTATATCCCCCAGCTCAAAGTAGAGACTTTGAGAAAGAGACATATCTTCCATTATGTCACAAAAAAATAAAGCTATAAGAGTGGTTTTACCCCCCATGCTTAGGATTCTAATTGACATACAGTAAGTGCTTAATTACCCAAAACATATCTTTTACAATTCTATGTTCCAAACAAAAAAGAAATAACATGAAATGCAGAGGTGAAAAATTGAAATTAGATTTGAAAAATAATATAGTACAAGGAAACTTGTGGCTCTTTATACATTCCAAATGAAGTTTGCCATTATAGTGACACATCAACAATAACCACAATGTAGCATTTCAAACAAACAGTAAAATTTTGAAAAATTGAAGAATCCCAGATAAATGTTTTTAATATAAAGGAAAAAAAAGGAGCCTAACATAAGCTTCTAACATAAGGGCATAAGATGGTATATTTAAGGGCACAAGAAATAAAAGAAGTAAAAATAGAATACCTGGTAACTGAGAAAAGAACAGAACTGGTTAGAATAATACTATAGTTGTTTAAATATACATACTAATTAACAAATGGGTTTCCCTTTTTCCTTAAACATATTTATGTAAGTTAATAGAAGAGTTTTATACCTGATTCCTTTGAGCTTCTTCAGTGCCAAAATATACTTCAAAGAGCAAATTCAGTTGTGGCACAAAATAGTGTAAATCTTCAACTTTTAAAAAGTTTTTGTCCTAGTTATCACTTTTGTAGGGATACCTTAGAATTACTCGTCTTGTCCCTACAGATTTCTTTTCTCATTTGGTATCTAGCAAGAAGTTAGTGGTTTATATAAGTAAAATCACTAAAGATACTGAAATTAAAATGGAAAATGGATTAGCACATTGGTCTTGAAGAACTGGTCCATCAATTAGAATTAACACACTTAAGAAATGAAAGATTTATGCCTGTTAAATAAAGAAAAGGGCTACAATCGCTAAAGCAACCATTTCATTAAACTTTACCATCCAAATGACGTTCTCCATAGGAGCTCTCTGGAAACAGGCCCCTTAGGTACGTTATACACGAGATAGAAGTAGCAAAAAGTTTCTTCACCATTACCAGTGATTCGTGTTCGTTAGTGATTTGGGATGGGAAAACTGTTCCCTGGGGAAAAACAAAGGCAAAAAGATTAGTATTTTTTAGCATATTCATCATATCACGCTATTACCACAGATAGAAAGGAAAGATTTTTCAATACTTTGAATTTGATACCTTTACAGGTAATCAAAAAGAAATGGAGCTTTAAATGCTACATTAAAGTATATCTTCACAGGCAAGGCAGAGCAAAAAGGTAGAAATGGTTACCCAAGTAACTAAAGACTAAAATAATTTATTTCACAATGATCTAAGGATTTGAGGCAAAACTGAAGGCCTACTGTGATGATATAATCTCCTTCCCTCTCATACATTCCTCAGACTTCACACAGTATGGCTTTTACACACCTCCATTTTACATTGTCCTCCTCAGTTACCAAGTACACCCTATCATTGCCTCTTCTCCTTTATTAACATGTAACTTCTTTTCAGCATTGTACACTGTTGCATACACAACTGTTTTTCTTCTCCCTCAAGCTGTCATAACACTATTGTCTTAGTAACTTTACTCATTGCTGGGACAAGTGCCAGTACCCAAAACTTAAAAAAGAGGTTTTGTGGAGGAAAAGTTGCTCATTTCATGGTGGTTGAGATGCAGAAAGTGAGGTACAAGCTTGGAAGAGAGCTATACCATTCTGGGTCATGCCCCAGTGATCCACCTCCTCAGACCACACTCCACTTCCCAACACCAAGCCAGCGGTAGTGCCCCTATAATCCAATCACTGTCTAAATGCTCAACCTATGACCACATAAGGCTCTGGGGGGCACATCTAGGTATAAATCATAACTGTTCTATTGTTGTTTTGGTGGTGTTGGGGATCAAATCCAAGACCTGAAACATACTAGGCCACTGAGCTACACCCTAGTCCCCTATTTTGGTTTCCACTAACCCTACATGCCTAGCTCAATATCTTTTTTTTTTTTCCAGTTGTTCTGCCCTTTAAATGTTGGATTTCCATTTCTTAGTATCCACTTTGATCTCTGTTTTCAAAACACTGTAATTTTCAACATATAGATCTTTTACTGCCTTTGTTAGATTGATTCCTAAGTATTTTATTTTTGCATGCCATTGTAAAGGGTGTGGTTTCCCTAATTTCTCTCTCAGTGTGTTTACTGTTTGTGTACAGGAATGCTATTGATTTTTGAGTGTTGATTTTGTATCCAGCTATGCTACTGAATTTGGTTATTAAATCTAGAAGTCTTTTGGTGGAGTTTTTGGGGTCTTCTATGCAGAGTATCATGTCATTTGTGAGTAATGATAATTTCACTTCTTCTTTTCCTATCCTTGTTCCTTTCATTTCTCTCTCTTGTCTAATTGCTCTGGCTAGTGTTTCCAGAACTATATTGAGTAAGAGTGGTGATCGTGGACAGCCTTGCCTTGTTCTTGATTTTAGACTGAAAACTTTCAATTTTTGTCCAGTTAGTATATTGCTGGCTATTGGTTTGTCATTGATGGCTTTTATCACATTGAGGTAAAGACCATCTATTCCTATTTTCTGTGGGGCTTTTATCATGAATGAGTGTTGGACTTTGTCAAAAGCTTTTTCTGCATCTATTGAGGTGATCATGTGATTTTTGTCTTTGGTTGTTGGTATGTTTTGGTTTGATATGATATGTTTTGATATGTTTTGGTTTTGTCTTGTTGATATGGTGTATTACATTTATTGATTTGCATATGTTGAATCATCCCTGCATTCCTGGGATGAATCTCACTTAGTTATGGTTTTTGACGATTTGCCGCATTCTGTTTGCTAGTATCTTATTGAGCATTTTTGCATCTATGTTCATGAGGGAGATTAGTCTGTAGTTCTTTTTTTTTTTTGGCTGGGTGTTTCTCTCTCTTTGGAATCAGGATAATACTTGCTTCCAGGAATGAGTTAGGAAGTATTGCTTCCTTTTCAATTTCATTACAGAGTTTAAGAAGTGTTAGTATTAAATCTTCTTTAAATTTCTTGTAGAATTCAGTAATGAATCCATGAGGATCTTGGTTTTTCTTTGTTGGTAAGTTTTTCACTATATTTTCAATTAAGAACTAACATAGTGATAGTGGCCATACTCCCAAAATTGTTATACAGATTTAATGCAATCCAAATCAAAATACCATTCACATACCTCACAGAACTAGAGAGAACATTCTTAAAATTCATATGGAACCAGAGACCTAAAATAGCAAATGCAATCCTGGGCAACAAAGTCAAGGCAGAAGGCATAACAATCTGACCTGAAATTGTGCTACAAAGCTACTGTGACAAAATCAGCATGGTACTGGCAAAGAAAACAGACCTGAGCACCAATGGAACAGACTAGAAGATGCAGAAACAACTACAAACACACTCAGCCATCTTATCTTTGACAAAGGGGCCAAACATATTCAGTGGAACAAAGATAGCCTCTTTAATAAATAGTGCTGGAAAAACTGGCTTTTTATGTGTCAAAAACTAAAACTAGACCCATGTCTATCACCATGCACTAAACTAAAGTCAAAATGGATCAAAGATCTAAATATTAAAACAGAAACACTAAATCTACTGGAAGAGAAAGTAGGTAAAAATCTTGAAGACATAGGTGTAGGTAGAGAGTTCATGAACAAAACTCAGACTGCATGCAAAATACTTCAAAGAATCAACAACTGGGATCTCATTTTATTAAAAAGCTTCTGCACAGCAAAAGAAATCACCAACAGTGAAAAGACAACCCACCGAGTGGGAAAAAATTTAGTCAATTGTCCCTCACACAAAAGACTTCTATTTAGAACATATAAAGAAATGAAGGGGCTGGGGATTTAGCTCAGCGGCAAAAGCGCCTGCCTGGCAAGCGCAAGGTCGTGAGTTCGATTCCTGGTACCGGAAGAAAAGACAAAACAAAACAAAAAAAGAAATGAAAAAAATCAGGCTCCCAAAATTCAAAGACCCAATACAAAAATGAGCATCAAGATGAATACACACTTCTCAGATGAAGAAATACAAATGGTAAATAAATACATGAAAAAATGTTCAACACCATTGGTCATTTGAGAGATGCAAATTAAAACAGCACTGAGATTCCATCTCACTCTAGAAAGAATGGCTATCATCAAGAAATCAACCAATAACAAATGCTGGCAGGGCTGTAGTAGAAAAGGAACCCTTCTCCACTGTTGGTGGGAGTATAGACTGGTGCAACCACTGTGGAAGTCAGTGTGAAGATTCCTCAAAAAACTAGGATTAGAGGTCCCATTTGATCCAGCTGTTCCCCTTCTGGATATCTTACCAAGAGACTTAAAAATATCATATCACATATATATGTGCACCCATGTTTATACCAGCACAATTTGTAATAGCTAAATGTTGGAAACAACCCAAATGCCCATCAACTGATGAATGGATAAAAAAGATGTGGTCTTTTTATTCAATGAAATACTACTCAGCCATAAAGATGGATAAACTTGAAACATTTATAGGTAAATGGATGCAATTTGAGACCATATTCATAAGTGAAATTAATCAGACTCACATGTGTAAACATCATATTGTATCTCTGGTATGAGAAACTGAAAGAGTAAATTCTAAAATGTGCAATAGATAATGTGAAATGGGAAGGAATTGTTCAAAAGGAAAAAGGACCTAGGATGGGTGAAAGGGCAAAAGACAGTAGGAAAAAGGGAAAAAATGCAAATCAGTTATACTGTTAGTGTCCCTTAGTTCATTACAAAGGAAGGTTGGTGCTAATATCGATTGGAGAAAATTTTATACCCATATTTTGTACCCTGAGCAACTACCTTATAAAAGATACCGATATATAATGTATTAGCTATTGTTATTCTTATACTATTTTGTGATGAAATTTTGTTTGATCTTTTTTCCATAAAATAAAAAAGTTGGTTTTTCCTCAAGATTCTGCCTTCAGTCTTTTTCTCATAGTTCTGTGACACCTCACAGAAAAAGTATATCCAAGTGGCCAAAAACACATAAGAAAGTGCTGGAACTTCATCAGGGAAATGTATATTAAAATCACAGTGAGAAGCCCTGCATGGTGGCACATGACTATAATCCCAGCACTCAGCAGGCTGAGACAGGAAGATCACCATGATTTCAAGGCCAGCCCTTGGAACACACAGTGAGTCTTTATCTTATAAATACATACAAAACCAAAAATACATACATACATACATACATACATACACACATACATACATACATAACCACAGTGAGAAGCTGAATGTCATTCATAGCACATGCCCATAGAGCATGCACTATGTATTTAATACATAGTTAGTTTAACTTACCAACAAAGAAAAACCAAGATTTCATGTATTTAATCTCATAGAGCAGCACTCTGAGTGGGTGAGGCAGGAGGATTGTAAATTTGAGCCCAGAAGGGGTATCTTAGCAATTTAGTGAGGGCTTGTTTCAAAATAGAAAATAAAGAAAACACTGATTGTAGAACTCTAAATAAGTCAACCTCTTTTGAAAACTGTTTGGTAGTGTTTTATAAAGTTAAATATATATATATATATATTATATATATATTCTACATCACATATTCCACTCATAAGTATACATCTAACATTTATGCTTATATATGTTACTTAAGTGATATACATTAGGACATTCATAACAGCATTATTTGTGACACTGTATTTCCTAATTAGAAGCAACTCAAATGCTAATCAGTAGTAGAATAGATAAACAAACTAGGTATATTTCCCCAGTGGAATACTATATGGCAGTAACAATAAGTGATCTACAGTGATACTTAACAATATAAATGACTTTCACACATGATGCTGAACAACAGAAAAGACAGATATAAATGAACACTAACATATTTCACTCATATAAAATGCAAAAGCTGGTGAAACTAATATACATGTTAGGATGGTGACTTCTTTTGGTGGGGGGAGGGGATAATGACTAGAAGGGAATATGAGATGGGGTGTTAGAATAGTTCTGTTTCTTGATCTGGCTTCTGGTTATAAGAATGTATTCAGGTTGTAAAAATTTGTTTAGTTGTACACTTATATGCATTTT